GCTGAAGAGTAACACAACAATGTGTGATGCTGCAGGAACTTGCGCGTGCGCAATTTGTAAAAAGAGAGAGAAAGCTGAGTACTTTCCGCTGATGTCACATAGTCCGAGATTTTCTTTCGTGGATAAAATGTGCGAGCGCATCACTTTTCCTGTCTTTTACTGTGGATAATGTCATCTTCTGCAGGAAATTCGCTTAATGTAGAGGAATTATAGTTTGGTAATAGAAACGTCTGTTGACCCACTCGTGGAAATTCAAGTGACTTTTTGTGTGGCAGTTCTGCTCTTCAAGGTCCTTCACTTTGGTAAATGTTTTCTAATTTCATAATGTACACTACTTATCTGTATCGGTCACGCTATTTATTCATCCATCCATCCATCTTCATCTGCTTTATCCGGGAACGGGTCGCAGGGGCAGCAGCCTTACCAAGGCGTTCCCAGGCCAGCCGAGAGATATAATCTCTCCAGCATGTCCTGGAGTGTCCTATTTATTCATTAATGCATTTATAATTGGATATAGGAAGTACAGAAACAACCGAAACAGTTTTTTTAGAAGTTTGGGTTCTGAGCAGACTCATTGCTCATGTTGCTCATGTTGTTCATGTTGTTTGTTTGTTTGTTTTTAAATGGGATCTGAAGCAGGTTGGATTTAATAGATGATGTTGTGTTCCTGCACAGTGAACTAATGACTGTATTGCTCTGAACGCAGCATGAACATTCACCCCTCCCCGAGCTGTCGAATCAGACTCCTGGTATTTGGCACTCATTCCTATGATAGATGGCGACGATCATGACCTTAGCGTTGCAGATCGGATTCATGCCCCCTGACCAATTTTTTGCTGTGTAACTGTGAAAGAGTGGTGAGTAGGATCCTCCTATGAGGTCTGCAATGTGGTTTATAGTAAGGTGGACCCTGGATGACTGCTCTTCTCTCTTGGTGTACCCTGCTGACGTCTTGTTGTCATCGTTTGTTATTTCTTGTGTCTTCTGGTGCCTTGTTTTGTTTTAACTTTCTTTTATCGTGTTTTAATCTTGTCGTGTCACATTTGGGCCTCTGCTTCTCTGCGCTTTGATGGTTTCTCAGCTTGAATGCCCCAGATGTTTTTAATTGTAGTATTTTAAAGGTGTGCATATGTTCTTCAGTTTTTATATTATTCACTGTTTGTTGTTTCTTTTTTAATTGCTTGATTTATAGGTTCATTTTACTTTCTTTTATTTTGGTAGAGAGACGGCCGCTTGTGAGCGTAAACACCGGGATACGAGCACATTTTAAAGCACAGTTTAAGTTGCAGTGCGAATTGCAGTGTGACGTCACGGGTGAGTAACCGGTAGCAGCCCTTGGGCACTCCTCCCTGTAGGCTGCCTGTTGAGCTGCTATTTTAACTAGAGCAACGTGATGCCAGTGAATCTTATCTCTTTAAGCAATGTCTTTTTTTTAAGTGTTTTAATTAAAGTTCTGCTGGTGTTGTAAGTTCTGTCACTTCATTTGTTGTTTTCTTTGCTGCAGCTCGATATTATTTACACTTATTTTTGTTTATTTTGTTTTTGTTTGTTCCAGTATAGCCAACTTCAGAGCTAATATTTTGTGTGCTGGTAGCAACTTAGCCAGACTCCATGAACTTTTCCTATATTTACTAGAGAGTACACAAACCCGCTTCCTCCCCCTAGTGGGGTGGTGTCGGTTTAAGTTTATTATAAAGGCTTTATGGCTTTTCCTTTAATATCATGGTGGGCGGGTCACTAGTCAAAATGCCTGGGGTGATTTTTATGTCCCAGTCCAGCCCTGATCAATCAACATCCCTTCCTATTGAAAAATGGGAAGCAGATTTATCAGTCAGATTAAATCAAAACGTCTGATCTCAGGTATGCTTAAAATCCTTTCCATTGATAAGAAATCCCAGTCTACAATAAATGCAATACAAAATACTACAAAGAATGCGTTATACAGGTCAACGGATCTTCAAGATGGGCTTTATGTCTATTAACAACTGATTACACTGTCAACACAAAACACCGTACAATTTTAGTTTGGAATGTTTAGTGCTTTGTGATTATCGTATGTTGATTTCATAGTGCTGCTCCCGTTAACCCAGTATTGTTATAGTTCCTTGTAATTACAGTTTATCACAGTGCAACTCAAGTCCTCTATAATAGCTCTGCTCTCGTTTAAACCTCAAGCACTTTCCTAGTAGGTTTAGTTTCACAGTGGCTTCTTTCACTCTTTGTAAATAAAGTGTTGCTTCCACTCATTCTCTGTGCTTTTGTGTCCATACTTCTGGTGGCCACTAGGTTGTGACAATAACCAGCTCACACAGCATTAAATAACACTTTTCCCACACAAAGTTCCAATATTGTTACATTTAAAGCATCTAAAGATACATTTACAGCTAGCTTGCTATTTTTTTTGCTTGTTGAAATCACTATCAAAATTATATCTTATTTGAAAGCCTAGTGATGTTGATAGCTACTATGATCTTAACTTAAAACCCCACCTTTTTGTATTGTTCCAGTGGACCCCCTAATATGCAAGCATATTAGAGAACCTTTTTTTTCTTTGCTTGACATTTTTAAATTCTTTTCATTTTCACTGTGCAAATCAAAGTGATTTGTACCATATACATGTCTTTCCAAAAGTGTGAAATAACTATATGAAAAGCACAAATTTAAAGGAACATTTGTTCATAAATATTTGTTTTGATTCACACTGGCAATTTTACTAAATATATCCTACGTCAATCTATCATTTGTAATAGTTTGTGGTGAACAGGGCATGTAATCAAATATGGTACAGCCATTTGTGGCATAAAAACATTTTAGAATCCAGCACAAACAACATTTATTTCAACATGAAGAATAATAATTGAACTAATAATAATAATAATATTAAGTTTCACCAAAGTTACTAATCTTAGTTTTGATGTTATGACCCCAAGACTAGAACAAGTTAGGTGTGGAAAAACCAAATTTCTCAAATTCTGGATGAACACTGAACTCTGACATACTTTAGGTCATTATTGGTTGGCCAGATGCAATAATGTCAGCCACATAACCTGATCTTTGCTCATTAGCTGGGAGAAAATCCATGTAGTTCTACAACCTCACAGTGACTCATGGGGAGGCCAATTTTGATGTCCATTTAGGTTACCAAATATGAGTTTAGGCTACCCAAGAAAGGGCAAGGAACCAAGTTGGAAAATAACATGATCTGATATCAGATGCAAGGACACAAAAATTCTTTAGCAGAGGCATGGACGCCTTGACCAGAAAGGGCTGTTTTGCTAGATTTTTTTTCTCTTTCCTCTTTGAGCATATTGTCTAAGATGTGTCTCTTTTTGTGAAAAGATAGGATAAAAAGAATGTTAACCAAACAGTCTGGAATAAATTCTGATGTTTGAACTCTTATTTACTAAATTAGAGTTACTAAATATGTTAAATCTCTATCTTGTGCCTTTAATCTTTTGTTCAGTGGACCACACAACATGTTGTATTACATGAAGAATTCATCCTGACCTGGACACCATCTGACAGTGAAGATGAAGAAAATCATCCCATCTGCTTTGTAGTCCAGGCAGAGGAAATTCAGATGGTTTAAACTTTTTCATAGCACCATTTTTATGGATATATGTTGTACTATTTTTTATTTTCTAATGACTATATAGATTTATTTTCTCGGTAGAACCAAGTATCACTTTGAGCTTTGCTGTGTGATTGTAAGCATTCATATTAGTGAATAAACTCTAATCATTTGCATTTCCTTCATTGCTTTCTGTATCAGCTTTTTTTTTACATATTTGTTCATTATATTTTAAGGACCAATCCCAACTCCTTGGCCTTACCTTGTGGGCTTTGAATCGAAGTTCTCACGTAGTCTGTGAGTCACAAAATCTTTTGCTTTTACAATTTTTAAAAATCCTTTTATTATTATAGAGATATTTATATTAAAAACGTTAAGTCGATGGTTCAACAGTCTTTTTTTTAGTTTTACAAAAACAAAATGCAGCTTTGGATGAAGATGGATCAAAGAAAACTAATCTGTAGAATCTGAGAATGACAAATGCACTGATCTTCTAGCTGCTTTCATTTGCTCCCTTTTTTGTGTCCAAATCCAATTTCTGTAAAAGTATAGGTTACATAACATACAGTAGATGCATATTTTACTGCTAAAGACTGAGAATGAAAGCAACTAGATCAACAGTGAGTGAACTGTTTTGAGTCTTTGGCTCTATTTGTTGGTGACATGATGACAGAAATGTACAAGGTTGTTAATAAAAGGTACTGGCACACTTCCCAATATTTGTTTTTTTAAATGAACATTGTTTAGTTAAATGTGCATTCTGTGACCAACGTAACATCAAACGCTTGACAGTAAATATGGAATTATTCAACCACTGTCATCATTACCTCTAATAAATTGTCAATTGTTTGGACTGGTTTCGACTCTTTAAAAGTGAAATCATTGTATATTTTATAACTATTGTACAGTGACAAACAATATACAGTAACATCATAGCTGCTAAGAGTTTATAAAGGATAAAAGATCAAAATCAGAACATTTATTCAATCCAAGTGATATGCTGATCATTGTTGTGGCTCTTCTTCTTTAGACTCTCCAGTTAGAGATTATCAGGAGCTCTTCTTTTAGCATCAGCTCGAGCTGAAGGACAAATAAAAGAGTTATATATATATATATATATAGGCCACAGCCAGGCATCATCAGTTCACCATGAAGCTTTAGCTGTAATGCTATAGCCATGAAAACCAGTTAACCTAACCTAATTTCTTTAACCACAACACGAACACCAGATAACCATCTGTCAGTTTTTCTGAAATCCCTCAACAGCAGGTGGAAACTTTGCTGTAATATGTGCAGATAACATGGATGCTGCTGGAACATAAAAATCCAGACATATCTTATTTTAGCTTATGAGCAATAGTGTTGTACTTTTAGCACTGTAAAAATTAGCATATTCCATTAAAAGCATAATGTTTTGAAGTGTTCTTACCTTGAGCCAGCTTTCGGTAGATGTATACACACAGTATGAGTATGCTGGTGTAGAGCATGAACAGCAAGATCGTGGCCACCAGATTCGGCAGAGAAGCAGTAAACACAGGGGGAGTTTTTGTTCTCTCTGTTTGGAGAAAAAGCTGTTTTGAGCTATTCTGTTTCAGACCATTTTATATGTAGTTATTATCACTATTATTACAAATATGTATAATAATATGTTAATAATTTCCCGTTTATATTCAAAGAAATAAGAGTGAAGCACATCAGAAGGCAAGACAGTCCTTGTGTAAAATAAGTCTGCACATTGGTGCAGCATGACAGAACCTAACAACAAGCAGACCTGTGAAAGCCACCCTATAACCTAGGCTACTTTTTCATGTGGTGAAGCCACAGGAAGCAGCTTGTTTGTTTGAACAAAGAAAGCTTCATGTGGATGACTCATCCTTCTGTAGTTTGGTCTGTGCATATAAAACAAAATAGAAGTGCTTGGTTTAATACTTAGAGGATTTATAGTTTTACTAGGTTTCTGACTCAATATATGTGGGTCTGTGTTAGGGACATTCAATTCCTAAATCAAATCAAAAGTTCTAGTTTTGTTTGAAAATGAATGGGAAGTACTTTGTTTCTATCTATTTCATCATTGCGCACAACATGACCTACAAAGTCCACGTGAAGAGGTGCAAGAGAGGTTTCAACATGTTTGTCAACCAGGAGACACAAGTCCATTTTTGCACTGCAAAGGTTTTAGGGGTATTACTAAAGTTTAAACCCTTTGGTTTCTCCAGAGGAACATTAGGCACCAAAATACAACAATTGACTGAGCATTCGGCTGCTCCTTATTTGCATTATGGGCAACATACACATACTCTATACAGTCCAGAGAAATATTTCATCTTCTTCCATAGGAATTCAGGTGTGTGTTAACACAATACCACAATCTTCACAGAAGTGGACGTCCCAACAAATTCTCCCTGAGATTGGACCACACAGAGAGACTAAAAAACTCAAGAGCTAGATCTTACACTCTACAGTCCTTAGTTAGATATTAAAGTTTGTGACTTGGGCTTGTTTAATAGCCCACGGGATCTGGGCACCTTACAGTCATTCAGTCGACCTTGAGTTCCTCTGTATACCATAGCATTCTAAAGTCAAATATGAGGTCATCTGTTAAACAGCTAAAGTTTGGTTGAAGTTGGACAATGATACCAAGCACAGCAGCACATAAACAACAGCATTTCTTAAAACTAAAGAATCAGTTTGCAGAAAGACAAGAGGAAAGAAAAAAGATGAACCTGTAAGGTTTAACTTTAGCAGGAAATTGGGTTTTCCACACAGAAATATGTTTGATAACATTTAGATGATGGTGTCTAGAAATAATTTAGATAAAGTTTCAAACATATGAAACGTGGAATCACCTCTAATGCCCAACCAGGTTTGGGGCGACTCTCCCTTTGTGGGGTGTTGACACTTGTAGAAGCCTTCATGGGACTTGGAGACAGTTTCAAGGATCATCTGCCCTTCAGGCAGCCTTCCAATAAAAATACCATTTCTGTAGAAGGTCGCATTGAAATCTGATGAAGAATGCTGGACCCATATCTCCTTGTAGGAGCACCAAAGAATCACTTTGTCTCCCTCAGTCACGGGAAGTGCAGGGCTCTCCAGGATCACAACACCAGCTGAAACATAGAAAAGCAAACTGTAAATGTTGTTGACAAAACAATAATACATCCATAAGCACAATTTTAAAGGTTTAAAAAAGCTACAAGTTTGCTAATCTGAGAAAGAAAATGCCCATCCCTAGCCTGGTTGACGAGGTTAAATGAGCAAAAGTGAGGCTTGAGATGTCACTCACGGACTCCCGGGACCCCATAGTGAGAGGCACTGCTCCCACTCTAGCAATGGAGAGGAAGTGGACCCAGTCACATCTGTGCTACAGGCGAAATCCGCTCTTCACCATCATGACGTGGTGGGTCACGTCCAACAGGATAGAGGGGGATTTGGTCTTGGCGCAGCAACAACCCGGTGGCAACAGGCACCAAACGTTGAAAAATGGTGTTGGAGGAGGTGCGACGACAGGAGGAAACAGCCAGACATGTCAGAGCCGTGGCACTGGCCAAGCAGGGCCGCTGAATGAATTGGGAGAGTGTGGAAAAGAGGAAACTCTCATGGAGTGAAATCTGGGGAATGGAGTCTAATAGACTAAGTTTCCTCATCTGAGCGACATACGATATGCTACCTTCCCCAATAAATCTGCAGATGTGGTTTGGAAAGGACCCATCCTGCCCCCTGTGTACAGTCCCAGCAACACTCAAGCACATCTTGGGTGGTTGTAGGACTAGCCTTACTCAGGGCAGATCCACATGGAGACACAACCAGGTTCTCAGGTGTCTAGCCGAGAAAGTTGAGTGCAAAAGAAAATCCATTAACGCTCAACCTTTCACGAACCAAGAGGATCGTCAGTTTTCATCAACATTTATCCGGGAAGGAGACAAGCTGAGGACAAGCCCCTCAAACCCAGACATGGGCCCGCTGAAGGTTGCCAGGGATTGGCAGATGCCAGTGGACTTGGATCAGAGGTTAATTTTTCCCACAGAGATCGTAATAACTACTCTGCGACCAGAGCTCGTCCTTTGGTCCAACTCCCGCATCTTGCGTACGTCATTGAACTGACAGTACCATGGGAGGAGGCAATTGAGGAAGCATTTGAGCGTAAGAAGCTGCAGTATGCCAACTTGGCAGCTGAGGCAGAGGACAGAGGCTGGAAGATCAAGGTGCACCCAGTGGAAGTGGGGTGCAGGGGCTTTGTTGCCAGTACAACAGCAAAACTGCTTAGATAGATTGGGATCAGAGGAAAGGCGCAACGGCAGGGTATAAGAGAACTAGCTAACACTGCTGAGAAATACTCCGCTCTTCTTCCCTTTTCTGGGAGGCAGTGGGGAGGAAGATCGGGTGCCCCCCTTCCAGCTCCCCTCTCTGCTCTCTCCTATCTTATCTCACTTACTTGTCTTACTTACCTCTTTAACATTTATGGAGCCTAATTTCTGCCTTTACTCATAACAACCATCCCTCAAGAGTCTCTCCATCTAAAGCAATGCATTATCATGGACTGTAACATCTAGTCCTTTTACTGAATCATTTTCTGTCATATCATAGTCCACACTGGGTGGTTGTGATGTATATTCTTATACATTTTACAAAAAGCAACGTGAGCTGGATGTTAAACTATGTGTGATCCCATAATATGAATTATTTTGTTTTGAGATTTTATTTTTTTAACTCCACTCAACAAGTATTTACTTACTATCCACTGATATGTTGAGGACATTGCTGCACTCCAACTCAGATTCACACCAATACAGTCCACTGTCTAATGAGAAGACCTTGGGATTGATACAGGAGGATCCATTTGGGCGACCCCAGTTATTCTGACATGGAACAAAAGAGCCGGTGGAGGTGTTTCTCTTCACCCTCCAGCTGATAAAGTTCCCTGGTGCTCCACAGGTCAGATTGAAGGACTCGTACCGAAAGAACTGAGTTCTGTCAGGTTGAATGGTCAGCACGGCTGCTGTTCATAAAGGAAATGGGAAACAATCCAAAATTATTTTCTTACAGTGACATTGCTACTTATAATAAGTAAAAAATCAGGGTTGCTCACTGAACAACAGCATAATTTTTTAGCAAGACACTGATCACAAACTCACTGCCAGTGCTGTTATAGTATGCTTGGACTGAAAAAAACATCCAGTAGAACATTATCAGTCATCAATTGGCCTTCCTGAAGCCCCTACCTCAACATTACTGGAACAGTGTGAAAAAAAACAGCAGCCAACAAAGAATAGCTTTGAATATCCTTCAAGAAGCATGTAGAACAATTCCTGAAGACCGAATAAAGAACTTATAACAAAGCTGCCTAGGAAAGGTCAGGCTGTGTTGGAAAATAAAGGTGGGCAAACCAAATACTGACATTCAAGCTCATTAGAATTGTACAAATTCTGTTTTTGCCTTATATGCTGTATCTCCATATATGTTTGCACTTTTCAATTAATATCTGCACATATTTCCTATTTTTCTTGCAAATAAAACAAGTTAAAGAATACCAAACATCAACACAATGCATTTAAAAGGAAAAAAAAATCCTTACATATCATTAGGCAGACTGATGTGATCGCCATCTTTGAATGATGCTGTCTTTGTTCATCTTTGTTCATTTTCGACAAGCTACCCACATCCTGAGTTCACGGATATGAAACTACTGCAGCGGAGACATGTTGAACAGAAGAAAAAAATCAAACAAGCAAAAGAACAACTCAGTTAGGATTTAGCATTTAATGAATTCCTGCTGTCCTGAAAGGCTATAACATCAGTCAGTGCTTTATTGCTTTAATGCAGAAAACTGCATTAAGGGATTGCCAGGTAATATGGTGTGGTGATTATTCACATTAACTTTGTAATAGGTTTTGATATGCTACTACGCCCTTGCAGGGAAAAACAGCTGTCGGTCTCAACATTTTTTTTCTAATAAAATGAATTGCTTTTTCAAGGGGGTAATGCAATATACTTCTTTACTGCAGCGTGAATAAATATATTGTCAAGGTTTGTGCTGTGCCAGGCAGGATGAAGGAGTGAAGTCAGAGAGGCAGCTTTATTGCTGTAGCAAAACAATTCAAACATAATACACTAACCCATATGTGTCAAACTCTGGCCCGCGGGCCAAATTTGGCCCGCAGCCTAATTACATTTGGCCCACGAAGCCATACCAAATTACTATTAGAGCTGGCCTACTGGTATTATACAGCTAATATATATATTGTTTAGTTTTAAACTTTGCTTGTTCCATATTCAGTTTACCAGCAAAACTTATTTGAGTCCATAAGAAAAGATTCCTTCTTATATCTGGAGGAAGATTTTTTTTTCAATAAATATTAATGTTAGCCCTCGACTTTGTTCCAGTTTTGAATTTTGGCCCACTGTGTATTTGAGTTTGACATCCCTGCACTAACCTAAACTCAGAAAACTAGAAACATGACACCAAACTAGGAAAACTGGGAAATCTAGAACTAGGGCTTTACAATGCACGTGGAAAAAACACACAGCACTTTGAGGTACGAGTGACAACAGACAGTGGAAAACACAGGGCTTAAATACACAGAGGGATAACAAGGGAATGAGACACAGGAGGAGAGCATAGCTGGGAGAAATCACACATAACAAGATGGTCAGGAATCAAAACTGAACACACTAAACACTAGATGAGGGACTATCAAAATAAAATGGGAAACATGAGACACGATGCTGTGTCCGAATTCAGGGGAAGGATAAGGATCCTACCTACCTACGTCACGTAGTGTCCTTCGGCGGACGGGTAGTAGTGATGTACGATACCACTGATTTTCTTTAATTCCCAGGTAAAGTTCAGGTTGGTTATCGACGATACTGATCCGATACCGATACTTGGTACAAAAACTTTAATCTTTTATTATATCTCAAATTATAGCGTCATAATGATTACAGGACACCAGATTACTTGTTCTTATCACTTAATAGATAAGATAAGATAAGATAAGATAAGATAAGATAACCTTAGTCCCAAACGTGGGAAATTTGTTTGTCACAGCAGGAAGTAGTTAGTAGTAAAAGTTATATAGCAAAAATTAGAAAACAATAAGAATAAAATACTGTACACAACTGTACAGAATAGAATAAAATAAAATACTATATATAGTAGAATAAATAGAATAAAATATACAATAGGATAAAAATAGAATACAAATTCTATATACAACTGAGTAAAAATACAACTTTGTCAGAAAAGAGTATTGCACTTAGT